GAAAGGGAAAAGCTTGCAGTTTATTACGCCGCAAAAAAATTGAGAATATCCTTCTTACTTTCCGAGTTATAAGCCATTATATGAAAAGTGGTGCGATTTCGGCAACCTTACCCTATGTATTATAATAAAAGGACTTTTAAACACAGAACATTGAACCGAAAAGATATACAAGGTGTCACAAAAAAGGGCACTGAATTATCTCAGATAAATGATGTTTTCGGGAAAAATTTTTCATACAAAAGTTGTAGAATACCAAGTAACCCATTATGGCAGGCATAATAAAAAACAGGGCCTATGTGGTTTAACCTTGAACGATCTTGGAAATGTCACATCAAGGTTATCTTGAGTTTTTTAAACGGGACCCCTATTTTTTATTACAAATTCTTACAGCTGACATCGAATCGAGACCTTTTTAAAACAGATATAATTAAGTTCCGCTTGACCAAAAACTATTCAAGATATGCACCGGTAAAATTTAAGTACCGTCGGACATTATTATATCCAAGATGCACTATGCGGAAGAGATTGCACGATTGGATTTGCAATATCAAATTAATATCATCACATAATAGGTGACTTGGTATCCTACTTTTGTATGATATATATATATATATATATATATATATATTTACGTAAGTATATTTTATATATTCTTCTAAAATCTTTAAAGAGAAGTAACTGTATGTTGAACACTTGAAACGAGCACGCTGTTTATTAGACACGAATATCCTCTCTTGGAATTCGAATTCAATTATATCCATTATTATTAGATATGTATATACAACACGTGTGTTTGTATCATAATATCGTAACGTATAAATGTTACAAGCGAATATATATTTAGGAATATACTTAACTTATTGTCTGATTGTTAACAGGGAAAGTACAAATCGAGATTTCTAATACATATTGATATACTTCGATTGCACAGTTTCTTAACGGTGTACATTTATGTAACAAAATATCTCGATTCATTTCAACAACTGCATTGGACACGAAAATTGATAACTTTTACATTTTGCTACACTATGTATGCACGCTTTAAGCTTCATAAAAATACGATACGACATAACTTTTCAACAAGGATACGACATAACATTTCAAAAGGCATATATAGTATATATATGTCGCACCAAATATTTCTAATAAACTATTGCCAAGAAACTGATTTTGAATTCTTATTCATTTTTTTTCGCTCGAAATGCAATCATCATTATATATAGTAAGATAAATGCTAAAATAATTAAATATTCTTTAACTCTTAACTGTGTTGTAACGCGAGAATATTTACTATCGTGTAATACTACGGAGTCAGGAAAGTAATAAGTATATAGAGAAAATAAATGAAAAAATGTATTTCAGTCATCAAATCATCAGTCTAACATTAACATGTAAGTTTTTGAAATAATAAATTTTATTAGAAAATCTATAAATTTTTTTTAACTGTAAATTAGTATATTATATAAAATGATAATGAAATAACATAAAATAATAATATAATAATTTTTATAAGAATAAAGGTAGGATGACATAAACAATAATAGATTCAAGATCGAATAAAATTAGTGACTCGATTCCAATAAACCCAAATAAATCTAGAACTTATATTTGGACTACTATTTTTTATCTTATTTATAATCGTCTGTTGGTTAATAATAGAAATTGAAAAAATGATGAAAGTAAAAAATTTACAAAAAGGTAATCTCTTAAAATAAAAATTTCATTATGGCAGTTAAGAATTAAAGGTAACCATATTATAATTGTTATAATTGTCTATTCTAAAAAATACTAATACTTTCTAACTATTCTGGACCTACTTGAAAAACAAAAATCGGTAGTAAAAATGTAATCTTCAATATGTTCGATTTTTTTTAAATAAAATTTCAAGTAGCAATCTAATTACTAATTTAATAAATTTCAAATTTAATTATTATTGTTTGAAAACTTTCCTTTCCATGAACATATGTATAATTCATATTTGAGAAACACATATCATCGTAGCACTTTAATAATATCTTTCTAATTATTAATTATAATTGATAATTAACTATGATCAACTAATTCACTAACAATAAGGATAACACCTCTTGTCTTTTCATCAAAAAACACATATTTACTACCGATTTATCAATATTTCTGATGCAGTCTGTAGATTTCTTAACATTTTAACTAAAAGATATCTTTAGAGTTATAAATATTTTTTTGCTAACAATGATTAAAAATGTGCAAATACCCGAAATTTCATTGATATATTATGTGATACGGAATACGATATTTAATTAACAATACATCACATCTCATAATAAACGATTAAATAACTTATCTTTCAAACTTGATGCGCGCGCGCGAATGCTATATTTATGATTTTTTTATATTAGTATTTACTCAACCGTAACACATTTTGCATTCGTTTTATTACATAAATAGAATTTTCCATAAAGAAAAGAAAAAAGATTTTAAATTAATTTAACAAATAAAACAATCGTATTTCTTGACTTTCCACACTATGTAAAAAGCGCGGAATGTTGTCTCTCTCCTTGATAATTTTTATATATTTTGTCATTTTTCGCTCAATAAACAGATCAAGTATAAAAAATTTTTTAATTGCACGGCTTTACTTTAAACAAAATAAAATGTATGTTATGTAATAAAGATGGCGTGTTTATTTATACATATATTAAAACACGCTTGATTGCCATTATTATCATTCTATCTTCTGTTTATTCGATAGAATTATATAAAATATGATCGGCTGAAAAATATGCATAAATATATTTTATTTAAAGCTAAGAAAAAGTCTTGGCTGTGTGTGTGAAAAGATATTGAAACTTATAGTGGATATATTTTTCGCTGTATCATTAACCCTAATCGGTATTTGTGGATTCAATAGACCCGAACATTTTCAACTACATTGTGAAAAATTGTATATGACAAATGTCTTTCACAATCTTAAATAAGTTTACATAATCTTATTTTTCGGATGTTGACCTTTATAAAATGAAAAAAAAATTGTTTAATTACGTTAACTTTAAGTAAAGATATACTAATTTTAAATACACTGGACCCCAAATACCAGTTAAGGAAATAATTTTAAATACTAATTAAGATTGAAATAGCATAATAAATTTAACAATTGGAAATATATCTGCACATCAAAATATTCATGTTTTTTTCACTTTTTTTATAATTTTTGAAGCTCAAATAGGCAGCTTCAGACAATACAGCCAATGTGCACTAACTTTACGCACATTCACTAAATATTGGCCTACATTCATATCACATATGGATAATTATGTCATATGTATATGTGTAATATTTGCTAATGTTGAAGTACATTGGCCATGTCATATGAAGCCATCTTAATGATACGGAGATTGCATTAATGAAAATAAGGAATGATAAAATAGTCGTGTGTAGGAATGTAGACTTACGAAGAAACACGCGTATCGTTTTAAAAAATATTATCCCAATCCGTGATCTTCAAAGAATCCCTGGGGAGTTTCCTCCTGCAACACACATACAAAAGCACAAGTTTATTAATATCGTATTCGGAATGTCTTATAATAATATGAACAGGGATCAATTACTTTGACGCTGCACTTTATAAATACATTACGAAAAATAGAATGAAAATATATACATACAAATATATATATATATATATATATAAACGTACACGTACCTACTTCATAATAAAAATCCTTTCTTGATGCAGCTTCAAATGGTGAACTGAACCCTTTTCATATAACTGAGTAACTTTTACTTTGGATACACAAAGCACATGTTCATATATTGCCTTAATTGAAATCTTAAGCGCTAATAAAAATTGCTTGTTTTACATGCAATCGAATTGTAAAGATTCCATTCTCCAGATGGGATCATAGTAAATGCGATTCAGCTCAATATGCTCACACTGCACGATGGCTTATGATAAAAAATATCCAGCTAACATATTGTTTCGTTACGAATCTATTATATTGTTTATTAAGAAATTAATAATTTACTAATAAATTATCAGTAAAAACTTGAGATGTGTCACTTTTACCTGAGACTAACGTAAATTATATAATGTAGATTAAAAGGTATTATGCGCGCTAATTTTCAATTACAATATAAAGATTTTGTACGATATATTTATTGCTAGTACACTTAATGTATAATAACACTAAGAGAATTGACGATGTTTATATAATATATAATATGCATATGTACATATATAATATATAAAGAGTATAAAGAGATATATGGTGTTTCCAATTATTCATATAATTAAGATAGGTTCCTCTTTTTTTAAGTAAATATATAGATGCGTAAGAATATACGTTTTATGCAATAGTCACATTAATACTGACGCTCTTCAGTAATACATATACATTTTCATAAAAATAACTTACAAATACAGACAATTTTATTGCCATAGTTGAATATTAAAGTACGTAGAGGAAGGTAACTATATATATCACTTACTCGTTAATAGGTTAAAGTTTAAAAATCGTAATTCAGCCTTTGGTTAGTAACATAATAATTTGTTCTATGTGCAAGAGTAATTTTTCTCGATATAAAAATATATTAACATACACAGAGAATGCTCCAGGCATCGTGTACTTTCTCTCAACTATGATTACTAAAAACTGATATTAAAAAAGACAGAGAAAGAATATTTTCGTATTTATTTTGTTTGTTCCAATTTCGAATCATAAACTAATAATCGATTTTTCGTGAATAATTTTCAAATTTTTATACTCTTCGAATATATAAGAAAATATTATATTTTCTTTAATTTAATAAACAAATGATGCTTTTTAACAAAATTTTAAATGTCTATCATATTTTCGATTAAAAAATTTTTTAAATAAGAAAAAAATATTTTTTATTAATTTATCTTAGATTAAGTTTTCGTTGGAGAAAGAAAATGCACGATGTCTTAAACGTTTCGTATATGACTAGTAAGTTGACTTGAGAATCTATATGTATATTTATATAGTAGAGTCGTAATGGCATCATGCAGCGGGTAAGCCTTTTCTTGTTTTTTGGTCGATCGTGTTGGTCGATACTCTGTCCATGAAGCTCATGCAAACAATAGGGTACCTATAAAAGCCCTATCTCCCGCAGAGCACCTTCCACAGCTTCGTCCTTCCACAACAAACAAAGAAAAACTAACTAGTCTTCGCTAAACTTCTACTTTGTCCCTATTTACGATAGACTTAACACACATGATATCACACTAACATATCATCAACATTTAAAAAATATTATACCAAATCGCTACTAAAAAGTTCCATAGTATTCTTTTTAAACCACATCAAAATTATTTTACAATATTTTTCCAAACTTCAAGAGTGTTATTATAAACGTAAAATATTATAATAAAAAAAATATTCTGTTAATAACAAATCCATTGTCATTTTCGTGTTTTGTTTAGAAAAAATTATATATACGAAATAATTTTTCTCAACAAGCACAATGAATCGCTAGTTATCAATTAAACTCATCCAATTACAATAACTTTAAATTTTATAACCTTTACTTGTAACATTTTTCTTAGGAATCAATATTTTGAAAAATACTTTAATTAATGTCACATTTCAAATGCCTTATCCTATGTAAAGTAGGTAATAATGTTATTAAAACTCCGTAAAATTCTTTGGAATTTTCCATGAAAAGTAAAACTAAATAATACATTACTTAGAAAACAAAATATATGAGACAAATGTTGCAAAATATAAATACAATTGTTGAAAAATATTTATTAAAGATTTTGAAGGCATACATATACACATATCCACATGTTATTTATAAACGGCAACATATACGTAATAATACACTTCTCATTTATACTAGTTCTAGTGTTGCTTTACTATCATAATCTATGAAATAACTGATTAATCTATATCTGAATACGAAGTTTATAATATATTAATATGGCAATAATATCGTTAACATTTTTTTACCTTTATCAAAAATAATACAAGTGCATTGGTGCCATGCTTTCGTATAAACATGTAATTATATGGCAGTTAATAGCAATTTGCGGATTAGCTCGCTTGATTTAACTGCTCGGTTTCTGATGATAGCCATCATGCCCAGCAATCTTTCTCTTTACCTCACATTTTTCATATTTTTCATGCTTTCTGCATCCACATCTCTACCATACACAATGACTATCGTCGGCACCTGAGCAAGCTGGTCTCAAGCAAATCCGCAATATAATCATTAGTAACGTTCTTTGTTCTCGATTTAAGAATATTTCCTCATTCTGTTAACATCACGTGCACCTGATTTATTATAGTCAATGTATACATAAATTAACTCGCGATACGATGAAATATCATGCATTATTTTATGGGATTTCTATAGCAACTTTTATTTTTTATCCCATCTACATAAAGTATGTTACAAAGACGAATATAAAATGATTATATGTTGTGTTCAGATTATGCCTGATTTTTTAAATAAATATTTATATATAATATTTGTAAAAATATAATATTCATAAATATAGTACTTTTATTTAACTAATATTTCCTAATTGTGTTTATTATTCAAATTTAAGTTTTACATTTTAAAAAACTAATAATGCTTTTTATTGTAATTCATCAATAAAAATATTTTTTTAAATATAAGACGAAAGAATATCTTAGTAATGTCAATCAAATTTTTGAAATATTAATAATATTAAAGCTCGAATCTCGAATATATGTATACATATACATATACATTTCTAAACTAACGCCCACTAATTATACAGTGCTATTTAATAAAAAACTGAGTCGAAAAGTTCTCTACCATTTTGCAATTTTTGCAATATTTTTTTTAGTTACTCAATGAGCAAAATGTCTAAAATCCGACGTGTAAGACAACCATAAGGTATCTCTTTAAGAGTTTTTTAAGAAACATTTTCAAAATATTTTTAAAAACACTGAAAGATATCTTAAAATTGTCTTATACATCGATTTTATCTGTTTATTCGGCAATGTTTAGAAATTAATATCTCGTCTATTACAAAAATTGCAAAATGGTACAGGACTTTTCAACTCAGTTTTCTATTAGGAATAGCACTGTATGATTAGTGGGCGTTATTTCAGAAACACCCTGTATATACACGCGCGCGCGCGCGCGCGCGCGCGTGTGTGTGTGTGTGCGCGTGCGTGTGTGAGCGCGCGTACATTTGTAGAGCAATATAATTTATAAACTTAGAAAAAATTAATTCTTTCTTTAATTTATTTCTTATTTATTTCATTTACTTATTTAAGTATATTGAGTTATGCTTTATATTTTTTCTAAATTAGACAAATTTATGTATGTAAAATATTATATTTATCATGTCTATTTTTCATAAACTAATATCTTATTCAAACAAGCTAATAATAGACTAGAATGAACAATGATACTTATGGCCGGTATTTATAGTTCGTTCTTATTTCAAGACTATTTTAAGTAATGTCTTGAAGCTCCTGAGTAGTCAGCATGCGATTCAAAATTAATCGGCGGCCTGGCGAAATGTGGCGAAATCGGTAGCCACACACAAGCATGAGCCCATATACATGTGCTCTCGGCGCGCCGAAAGCGAGCACATGTACATAGGCTCGTGCTTGTGTGTGTGTGCGTACATGCGCGCGCGCGTGTTACAGCCAATGCTGCCAGCCCTCTCATTTTAATGGTAGATTTACCGTTTTGGTTTACCAACCTACTGCCTACTGTTTCAGCTAGGTTATCTACCATCTTTTTTTATTTTATTTTGCTTATATAATATCCTATGTTACTGCTCATTTTACTCAAAGATTAGTATCTTTGATTGACAAAAGAATTTGATCCAAAATTTCAGCAACAATGGTGAAGAATTTTGGGTTTCAGTACTGAAAAAAAATATAATGATAATACGCCAAAGTTTGGAAAAGTCAGAACATTTGCTATTCAATTACTTTCTCTCCCTCACTCCTCCGTTAACGTCGAAAGATTATTTTCTCAAATTAATCTAATAAAAACCGATGTAAGAAATTCGATTTCATCTGCTACTCTTTCTGGATTCATACATACAAAAGAATACTTAAACGGTAAAAGTTGCTATACCATGTCTATGTTAGAAGAGCTATTTAAACTGCATTCTAACAATATGTATAAGAAAAATAAAGATTATGAAATGTTAACTGATTCTAAGACTAGTCAAATTAGTGAGACTGAAGATTAAAGGAAAAACAAAATAACGTTATAATTTTCTACTCAATGATGTTACTGTTATGCATAAGGCATATTACATAAATTATATTGCAGTTTCATTGTTGAGTGGAAAATTGTAACATTAATGTTATTCTTTTTTGTGTTTAACTGGAAAACAATTTTATACAGATTAGAATCTCTTTTCTGTTACTTTTTATAAAATATTAAATAATTTGTAATACTCATTATCAATGAGAAATTTATAAATAAAGATTAAAGGAAAAAGTATGAGTACATTCTTTTTATTATAATTTTTACTTCATTTGCTACTGAGTTATTTTCGGTATGT